ATTCAATAATCTATAACATGCTAAAATTTTCAAACTGAATCGCCAATACTGTTTGGAACAAACTCACTGTTATTATTATTATATTTAATATTCGCAATTCGTACCCCGAATATTTTTGAGTTTATATCGTAAATGTGGACAAATTCTTCTGGTTAATTTTGTTTTAATTTTTAATTACATTTTCTGAGTAAATCAGATGCAATATTGTGACAAATGCTCAGAATTCCATTCTGTGTATTATAAGTACTGTTTTTGGAATAAAGTAGACAACAGGAGTCGAGTTAGAATGTCAGCATCTTTAAGGCTCTTCAAACCACAAATAAAAAAACAAGCACTTGAACTGGTCTGATGTCATCTCGTGTGATTTGTATTTTTCACATTGCATGTTCACTTTGCTAGGATAAGTGACATAATCGTCGGAATATACTTTTGGTAACTGAAGACATTAGTACACTCAATTCTGAACATGGATGATTGTTCACCAAACACTTCTGAGATAAAATGGTGACTGTGTCATCGAATGAGACAGTTCACGTGAATTCTTTGGCAGAATAAAATTAAAATATTTGTTGTGCTCGACAGAACCAAGTTTTCGTTAAAATAATCGAACTTTCGCAGCATCATCGAACATGGTATATATTCAATACAAAAACGCCTTTGTAACGATTGAACTGTGAATCAATTACAAGGCCAGACTGTTGGCATTAGATGGTTGGAGGCAATCGGCAGGAAGCCTCGGACCTAGGTTTCGTGCTAGTTGGCACTCATCAACAAGGCGTGTCTGCAACCTTGAAGGAACTGATGTCCCTTCTGAGATTCGAACCCGCGTCACCCAGTGCTGAAGTCAGAGACGTTACCATTTAGCTATTCAGGCTCGCGATTGACCTCCTGTAGGACTGAATTGGATATTTTGGCGAGACACCTAGCATGGTGGCCACATTGCAAGCTTGACTGATAGAATTCAGTCTGCAGCCAAGATAAGTAAGATTAGATACATTACACTAGTTACTGACTAGTGTGCAATCAAAACAATACAAGGCCAGATATTGGATAATAAATTGAACTCACTAATAGAATTTGAAATACTTTCATGCTTACTTATCTGGTTGAGATGTCGAAAAGACTTGAACTGACAGCTTCTGAGCAAAGAACATAAGAAGAGAACCGATAATAGGTGAAAAGGTTCTTGGCGAAAAGGATAAGAACGTAGAACTCTTTGCATATTTCTGTGCCATCTAATGGAGGTGGCGTGCATAAGCACAGGGATATACACTAATCGACATGGACTTCACCTGACGGACACATCCGGAACCAGATAGTCTTCATTTCAATCCTGAGAAAGGGGGGACAGTCCGCAAAACACAAAATAGAGAATGGGTGTATATATGAGCTAAAACCATTATCTAGTACGAAGCACCTTCAGAGTAAAGCTGAAAGACTACACGGCGATTAAAGATAGGTAACCCAAAAACTGACAGGAAAAACTACAAACGACAACACCACAGGGATCAGATAGAAGTCGGAGACATTACGTAGAGATATGGAGCGGACCTGTGTCAAGACACCTTGGAAGTCTCTGAAAGGAATGTTGAAGGCAACTAGTACAGCCAGCTATTTTGTAAAAGACAACAGGCAAGACAAGCACAGATGAAACCAATTAAAGTCAGCGAAGACACCTAATCACCAAAGAGTAGATACAAATTAAACAACAGACTGATCATTTCAAACGACTGTTAAGCCCAACATCACCTATAACTCGTAGAGAAATACGACCCACAACCACAGAAATGTCAGTAAACACCAATCTCTCAACAAAAGCAGACGATTCCAGTGTCATAAAATTACTAGAAGGTGGCGGGAAAAGCGGCAGAACCACACGGAATTACCCCGGAAGCACTGTAAACGGACCCAGAGACCTCAGTCACCATCCTCACGCCATTATTACAGCAAGTTTGGAAGGAAAGGTTCCTACTGATTGGAAGGAAGGCTACATTGTCAGGTTACCAAAGAAGGGTGACATGGGACTATGCAACAACTAGTGTGGAATTATGTTCCTATACGCGCCAAGCGACTATTACGTCGCGTTATCCTGGAGAGACTGAAAGATGCTCTGCATGCAAAACTCCACCCCCGGACAAGCTGGATTCAGGAAAGGCGAATCGTACGCAGATCAAATTCAAACTCTACACATCACCATAGAACGGAGCTTAAAATGGAAGTCAAATCTCTATCCCAACCCCACCGACTTTGGAAATGCCTTCGACCGCGTCGATTGCAAAGCAGTTTGGAAACTAGTTCAATAATGCAGAGTGCCCAAATCCTCTGTTTATCGCCCTCATCCAATAGCCACATAGTAGCGCACACCTCAGGTGATCCGCAAATTGAGCGTATGAAGTGAAGAGAGGAGGAAGACAATGCTGGCTACTTTCACCGATGATATTCCTAATTTTGGTGAACTGGAATATGTGGGAGACTGTGAGCAGCGAGACTCTAGAAGATGTGGATTTGGCGGACGATTTATGTCTAACGTCACACAAGTTCGATTATTTACAGGGGAAAACCGACAAGTTGGCAGAGGAGGCTGGAAGGGAAGACATAACTTCAAGTAAACATAGCGAAGGCGGAGGTGATGAAGACAACCAACCAACAACAATAACAAGCACCAACCACTATCGACGGAAGAAATTTAAACGAGCTAACTTCTGCCACTTACTTAGGCAGCATCGTTTCAACTACAGACAGCACGGAGACTTAGCACATCACGAAAATCATTTCCAATAGCCTGATGAAGATGGAGATGTGCAGTTAAAGCTTTATGTTTCACTCGGATCCCAGGGGAATAATAAAAATCATAGTAACAACTGCAATATAATGTTTGAGTGTCGCTTATTAAATGTAACCACTTGGGTCATGTACAGGTTTGCAAAAGTCTGCTTCGGAGAAATGACTCAGTCGGGATGATGTTTCGAGATATCAAGAGAAGAACACCTTGGGAGGCACAGATTTTGCAGCTGACTCACGCCATATTTTCCACACACACACACACACACACACACACATTCGAAGAAGTATGAATGAAATCGAACAAGTTGACAAGAGGGGCAGAGAAGACAGGAGTCTCAGGCGAATACAGAGAACGCAACCACATGGAAATATTGATGTATTTATAGTAGTGATAATGATAGTGTCATTAGAGAATATTTTATTACTATTCGGTCACTTTTGGCGTTACAAGTGCTACTTAATAGAAAAATAAAACAACAATCGATGAAACTCATCAAATTTTGAGTACAAAATGAAAGTGAATATTGTGTAAGCCAATGGAGGAAAAACTAGGAGAAAAGAAACAGAAACAATGAAATTTACATGTGGTGTTAGTTAATTTCGCCACCTATCCCCAACCGCCTTTGCTTTCAACTATCAATGTGTATGCAAACAGATAAAATAAGTTTAAACTTGGATTCCAAAAATAGTGATGTATGCATGTATATAACGCTCAAGACAGTTTGATGGTTTAAGTTCTATGCATGAATTTGGAGAAGCACCCACACACACACACACACACTAACACTTGTGTGTGAAATGACATGGAATTCAAAGAGTCAACCGAAAGTGGTGTACAGAGAAAAGCGGAACAAGGAAACTAGCAAACTGGAGAGATTAAGATTAAGAAAATGTAAGAAATTATTTGGGGTAATTATTAATTGAAATGGGTTGTTGTTGTTGTTGTTGTTCTTGTTACTGTTGTCGCTTTTCGATAAAATTAGGAGGAAAAAGCAGAACAGAACAGAACAGAATATAACAATTTTTCACGAGATGTGAGTACATTTCTCGGAATTACACACCAGTAGTAGTATTCATTTATTAAGAAATTCACTTAGTGCACACATGTCAAGAGGAACAACAAGGAGATTTTAGTGCAACGAAACAGAACAAAAATGACGGAGATAAAATAATAGTAATTCAATAGTAATTCGCTCAAGTATATTAAATGGAGTAGTTATGCCGATTACTCTGTAATCAGTCAAGTGAGCAGGTGAACAAGACACCTGTGTGTGTGTATGTGTGTGTGATCAGATTGCGATGAATCCACAGAGCTAACCGATGAATTTATTAAGAAGTCAATGTTCAACGGCCAAATGTGTTTAACAAAGGCAACAGAATAAGTAAACACACACACACACACAAAGATATATCTATGTACAAAACTAAGATCTATTCAGGAATCCACTCAAACAAACAAAAATAGCATTGATTCCATTGAATTCAATCTAAGCAATTGTTATAAGTGGCATAGAATGTTGTTCCTTTTGTTGTTTCGGTTGTTGTTGCTGTTGCTGTTGTTGTTCTGGAGGTGGCGGTGGTTGTTGACCTTCAAATGTTGCGGTTGACGACGACGACGATGATGATAAAGATGACGTATTCTCACCAATTTCATTATCACAATTAGTCACATTAACAACTGAATTGGTCAACTGTTTCCCATTACCAGATATTGATTTTATTGTATTCTGTAGTAGCACTGCCTTATCATCATTATCAGGATTCTTTGCTCCACCATCATCACTATTATGCTTATTAATTGAATTACTAGGATAATAACAATAATCAACTCCAGCTGATATATCCATCTTCTGATGTAATTCAACTCCTTCATTATTAATATTATTACTGTCGTCGTGTTTAGCTATGGTGAATAATGTAGACTTGTCAGTATAACAACTTGATTGATTTGGAAGAGTTTGTTGTTGTGATGACGAATCACTTACTTTATTGTCATATTCATCTAGTGTGCATGATGAGGTTTCAATGCATCGTTCACGTTTAAATATACTTAAAGTACCTTTAGCTTTATTTTCATGTAAACTATATAAAAAAAAGAGAGAGAAAAAAAAAAGAAATTGAATTAGACAGTGTCTTGTTTTACTAAAACGTAAGGCAGACATTATTGTTATTTATTATTATGACAACCACATTATTGTTTCTTTGGGATAAAATGTGAAAACTCTGGTGGGGACTATGTGTGATATGCATATTACTGGGCTATACTGTCTTTCTACTTGAGAATCTCTCCTCACCTACCTGCATTCCGAGTGGAACAAAGGGATTCACACTTGACCCTTAAAGTTTCAATCACTTTGGTGTTGTTTTTACTGTACGAGGTGGCGATAGTCTCACTCCCAACCTTTTGCTCTCTACCGGGCTGACTACTGGATAGGCGATGATTAGGAGTGCTTCGGCCAGGAATCGAACCTCGATCATATGTGTCTGAAACACGCAGTGCTTTATGATATTGCATGCCTTCTTTGCGCGGTGTCGTGCTAATTTTTCCCGTATTGTTCCAGTTTTAGTAAATATATATATATACATATATATATATATATAAATATCATAAAATTATGGTAGTACAGAATACAAAAATACCCTATGATCAATATGACACTTGAAAGCGAGGAAAGCAATGAACTCCGAGGGCTTATTTGGTCAGCAAAGACATATTAAGTCAATTCAGACGTTTATTTTGTAGGCTATTCCACGAAACAACGTCGAGTAGACGACTATCAAAGTATGTTGGACATATATTTCACCCTCGTCTTCGACTCTTCAGCAGTATGCACTTATGTTTCCATAGCTTTAAGGCTACCGGCCGATTATGTATACCAACCAACTACTTTTAAGTGTTCGTTTGTAGCGATTTGATTGGTTACAGGATTTTCATCATGAGCTGACATTAGTTAGAGAACCACTGGAAAACCTGGGAGTACTGGACAACTGTTTCGTCCTAGTTTGAGACTCTTCACAGTAGGCACCCACGGTAATTCCTGACCAGTAGGGTGCAGCAGGTAGCCTGTGAGTTTAAATATTCGCCACTGGAAAACCTGGGAGTACTGGACAACTGTTCCGTCCTAGTTTGGGACTCCGCCTCGGCATTATGCATCACCGAGGTCCAAGCCCAGGTACTTCTGGTCACAGGGCGAGCTAGCTCGTAGAACATTGAGCCACTGGGACCCGATCCAATGGCCAGCCCATGAATTCTATTATTATTATTACTGTTCCCTTGGGTTCCTAGTGGAACATAGGGCTTCAACTGCACGTCTCCACTTGCTTCTGTCTTCTGCTGTTCTTTTCACTTGCGTCCATGTTATTCCATACTGTTTCATCTCCTCCTCACACGATCTCCTCCATGTCACCGTTGGACGTCCCACTCGCCGCTTCCCTTTCGGGTTCCACTCGAGCTATGTCCTGACGCGCGATGTCACTCAACGGCCTCCTCAGCGAGTGTCCAATCCATCTCCACTTCCTCCTGCATATTTGTTGGGCGATTGGTTCCTGTTTCGTTTGTTCCCATAGCTTCTTGTTTGTGATTCTTTCCGGCCATCTTATCTTCAGTATGGAGCGAAGACAGTTGTTGATAAAGGTCTGCAACAGGCTGTTGGAAATATTCTTGGTGACCCGCCAAGTTTCTGATCCATATAGAAGAATTGACTTCACGTTTGTATTGAAAATCCGTATTTTGTTGTTGATGCTGAGTGACGAAGATTTCCAGATTGGTTTCAGGTTGATGAATGTGTTTCTCGCCTTACCGATTCTCGATTTGACATCCTCGTCCGTTCCTCCTGTGGTTGAGACAATGCTCCCTAGATAAGTGAATGAAGTAACCTCTTTCAAATCCCTCCCGTTGATGGTGATTGGCACTGGATGTTGCTGCTGCTGTTGTTGTTGGTTGGTTATTTTCATGACCTCCGTCTTGTCTATGTTCACCTGCAGTCCTGTCTTTGCTGCTTCTTTGACCAGTTTGTCGGTTTTCACTTGTAAGTCTTCGATTTTGTGTGACATCAAACATAAATCATCCACGCGCGAAATCCAGGTTTTCTAGGTTCTTCACGTCCGTCCAGGGTATCCCTGTCTTATCGTTTCCCACTGTCTGACGCATAATCCAGTCCACCCCCAATTAGGAATATCATTGGTGATAATAAGCACCCTTGTCTGACTCCTGTGTTTACTCGAAACGCCTCGCTGAGTTTTCCGTTGTGGATCACTTGACATGTGCCGTTGTCGTACAGTTGTTGAATAAGGTTGATGAATATTTGGGGTACGCCGTAGTACTCGGGTAGTTTCCAAATTACTTCACGGTCAATGCTGTCGAAGGCCTTCTCAAAGTCTATGAAGTTGAGGTAGAGATTTGATTGCCATTCCATGCTTTGTTCGATGATAATGCGTAGAGTTGCAATTTGGTCAGAACATGATTTGCCTTTCCTGAATCCAGCTTGTTCTGGTTGGCGGAGTTCTGTATCCAGTGCGTCCTTGATTCTCTCCAGGATGATGCGACTCAGGATTTTACTTGGCGTCGACAGGAGCATGATTCCTCGCCAGTTCTTGCAGAGTCCCAGGTCGCCCTTCTTTGGTAGTTTCACGAGGTAACCTTTTCTCCAGTCAGTAGGCACCTTTCCCTCTTTCCAGATCTTTTGCAATAATGGAGTCAGCATATCTGCTGTCGTCTCTGGGTCCGCTTTCAGTGCTTCCGGGGGTATTCCATCTGGTCCAGCTGCTTTTCCAGCTTTCAGAAGCTTGATTGCATTGATGACTTCAGTCTTCGTTGGAGGATTGGTGTCAACTTGCAGTTGTGTACGTGCTGTTGTTGGTATTTCTGGACGGGTTGTAGGGGGTGGTCGATTCAAAAGTCCTTTGAAGTGGTCCGCCCATTGTTTAATCTGTCTTTCTTCCTTGGTAATTGGGTTCCCTTGGCTGTCTTTTATAGGTTTCACTTGTGTTGATCTCTTCCCGGATAGAGACTTGGTTATCTGATATAGTGTCCTCAGGTCCCTTTCGCCTGCTGCCTTCTCAGCTTCAGTAGCCAGGTTGTCGTAGAATTGTCTTTTGTCCTTCCTGGCACTCTTCTTCACTTCTTTGTCCAGTGCTGTGTAAGTTGAGTTCAGCGTCTCTTTCTCTTGTCCATCTTTGCATTGAATCATTTTTTCTTTCACCTTTCTCCTCTCCTCTATTAGTTTCCAAGTGTCTGTTGAGAGCCATTCCTTGTCTTGTTTCTTCTTTCTTCCTAAAACCGTTGAGCACGTTTCGTTGAAAATTACCTTCAGAGAGTTCCAATGGTCTTCCACGGATGATTCCTCGGTGGTGCCACGTAGTGTTTCCTGCTTTGCTCTGACAGTTGCAGTGAAAGTGTCCTTTGTGGTTGTGTCTTTCAGTTTTTGCGTGTTGAACTTGCATTGTGGCCTATCCCCAGGTATCCTCGAGGCTTTCAGCTTCACCTTGAAAGTCCCTTGTACTAGATAGTGGTCTGAACCCACATCTGCTCCTCTCCTCGATCTTGTGTCCAGTAGGCTCCGTCTCCACTTCCTTGAGATTGAAATGAAGTCTATCTGGTTTTTGGTGTGTCCATCTGGTGAAATCCATGTTGCCTTGTGTATATCCCTGTGTTTGAACACACTGCCAGCAATCACCAAATCATTAAAGGCGCAGAAGTCTGAGAAGAGTTCACCATTTTCGTTCATTTCACCGAGGGCCTCGCGACCCATGGTGAGTTCTCTTCCTGTATTGTCTCCTCCCAGTTTCGCATTCATGTCGCCCATCAGGATTTTGATATCGCTCTTTGGGACGTTGTCCATTACTGTTTGTAGTTGACTGTAGAAATCCACCTTCTTCTCATGTTCTGAGGCGTTTGTAGGCGCGTAGCACTGAATGTTTGTAACCTTTTTTCCTTTTGAGTTGAACCTGGCTGTCATTATCCTGGAGGAGATTGGTTCCCACTGCATGAGAGCTTTAGCCGCTGTTGGTGACATCATGATGGCTACTCCCTTGGTGTGCTCGTGATCGTCCTCTGGGTGACCGGAGTAGATTATTGTCTCTCCAGTTGATAGTTGGCTCCTTCCACATCCGTTCCATCTGCTCTCGCAGATTCCCAACACTTCTATTCCATATCTCCTCATTTCTGCGGCTACCTGAGCAGCCTTCCCAGCTTCGTACATTGTACGAACATTCCACGTCCCCATCCTTATTTTTGCTTTCATCGAAAGAAGGCACATCGGCTGACTGGCTTCCCGAAGGCTTTCACCAGCCTGCGTCATTTCACTTCCCCGATTCCAGCGAAAAATAAGGTCACTATTTGTAATTGTAGAATTTTGAATATATTTGTGTGTTGAAGTTTTAGTAGCAATTTGGTTAGATTTTGGGGGTGGAGTTGCTAGCACCACGCTCCAACCCTCCCTCTTTATCCGGGCTTGGGACCGGCTAGAATACTAGTGACCTAGTAATCTAGGCTAATTGATGACATAGCGCGACTATTTCGCAATGTCTTCTTCTATGAGTTACTGTCTCATCTTCAACCTGCTGTACCCTATTGCTCACGGCTTCCCACTAGAACCCCAGATCACTGCCTGAATAAGGCCGGTCGCTAGAGAGCATCAGATCAAGTTAGAATTCATGGGTTCGAAACTCGGTGGGTGCGTACTAGGGAAGAGTCCCAAACTAGGACGAAACAGCTGTCCAGTACTCCCACGTTTTCCAGTGGTTCTCTAAATGATGTCAGCTCATGATGAAATCCTGCACCCTGAATACTAAGCATTATAATGAATGCTTTCTTTACCGAAACAGAACAATTTATTTGGCTTCTTGCTATATTCACTGAAATTGTGATTTATGGTTTGTCTATATTTCAGTAGGACAGTGTTCCTACTGGGATTGGAATTCTGTACTAGTCTAGTCATAGCCTAAAATCATAGAGTATAATGTGTTAAATTATCTTAGTACGCACTGATTTTTTCTATTCAACAGGGCAAGTATGTTACTAACCTGGGCTGTTGTTATAATCTAACTAAGAGGTATTTTGTTTCGCTAAATCAGTACTAACTCGGACTTACGTCCAGAATAAAACAAGAACTACACGGAGTATAGTAATAATCTTATATTATTAGGATAACTGAAATTCAGACTTTCATTCCGTCAGTCAGATCAGAAGCCCATATATATACATATGTATACTATTAAAATAGTTAACACACAATCCACTCAATTTTTATAATCTTGAAACAAACTGAGACCATCGAGCACTGATAAATGTACATCTAGTCATAGTCACATTGGGAGAAACAATGCCACTAGAATAAATACGATCGACACACACACACACATTAATAAACATAAAATTTGACATGGTAACACGTTACAGTATAAACAATGAAGATAATAGTACACTGTCTATATCTTCAAGTATTAGCATCACAT